GTTCTACACCGGCTTGGGGCATCAAGCCCCAAGTCGCTAGTTCCAAGAACGCCGTCGAAACAGCAGCTGAAGCCATCCACTCCCAACACACACCCTTTAGTTGCTGCCTGCACGGCGGGCTGTGTTTCGGAAACGCCCTAGACCCTGAACCCCCTGAAGCTTAAGACCTCATCCCTGCGGGCCGCCGGATTCAGAACAACGAGCTCACAGGCGGAAAAAAGGGTTCTTAAAACCACCCGTTTTGCTAGTGGTTTAAAAAAAACCCTCTTCTGCCAATTTTTTTGAAACCCTCTTCTGCCCTCTTCTGCTAGTTTTTAAAGAAACCTCTAAGGGCCCTAAGACTCTGGGAAGTCCAGTTTGCCTGTTTTGCCTCTTGGAGTTCAGGAGCTCAGAGGGCTTAAGGGGTCCTTGAAGACTAAAACCTTCTACTAAACCCTAAACCCTAAACCCTAAACCCTAAACCCTAAACCCTAAACCCTAAACCCTAAACCCTAAACCCTAAACCCTAAACCCTAAACCCTAAACCCTAAACCCTAAACCCTAAACCCTAAACCCGAAACCCGAAACCCGAAACCCTAAACCCTAAACCCTAAACCTAAAACCTAAAGCCCTAAACTCTAAACCCTTACTAAACCCTTAGTAAACCCTAAACCCTAAACCCGAAGTCCTAAACCCTAAACCCTAATCTCTAATCCACAGACAGCCAGGGCTTTCTTCGGCCATCCGCGGCAGAGGCGCTAATGTCCGACTGGCTGGATCAGACCGAAAAGCAGGACTGCAGTTAGGGCGGTTTAAGGTTTAGGGTTTAGGGTTTAGGGGGTTTTGGGTTTCAAGGGCTTAGGCATGCTTAGGCGGCTTCGTGCTGAATGCAGAGTTGCTCCCCCTCCCGCCCACCAGGAGTTCCCTGAAAGCCCCGACAGTCCCCACACCTGTCCGGTATGTGGGTTTCGAGGTGGGCTGTTTCTTTTCACCGACCCTGAACCCTGAACCCTGAACCCTGAACCCTCAACCCTAAACCCTAAACCCTAAACCCTAAACTCTAAACCCTAAACCCTAAACCCTTGACCCTGAACCGCAAAGGATGGTAGGGGGTTTGTGGGGTTTAGGGAAGTTTAGGGCCAAGTTTAGGGTTAGGGAGGGCGGGCTTCTACGAAGGCCAGCTAAAGCTAAAGCCCTGCTACTGCTTCAAGGGATTTAGGGGGCCTTTAGGGTTTAGGGTTCAGGGTTTGGGGTTTAGGGTTTAGGGTTTAGGGTTTAGGGTTTAGGGAGCATGAAAAGCATTGAGAGCATGATTCTGGTGATGGGGTTACTTGGGTTACTTCAGCCCTGGCCCTTTCATGCCCGCGCTCGGAACTTTGAGCCACCAGCCCAAATCGCCGTGAGGATCTGTCAAAGGCCCTGCTCAGGCGGGCACTGGGGCATGAAGGGGTGTTGGGTTAAAGGGTTTGGGGGGCCCTTTTCGGGCTTAGGGTTGAGTAACTAGGCAGAGTTCTTGTTGGGGCAGTTGGAAGGGAGCGAGGATTTTTTTTGTCAATTTTTCTGTTTTTTTTTGTGAATTTTCTTGTTTTTTCTTGCTTTTCTTGTGGTTTTCAGAACATGCCCTCCTGGTTCTGCCTGTCGTCCTCCTCTGGTGGGAATTCTTTTCTGTGCATTTTTTTGGTTTTTTTGGTGAATTTTGCTGGTTTTCAGCTTCCGATGGCCTCTCAGCGGCACCGCGTGTCCGGAACAGGTCCAAATCTCAACGTGCTACAACAACACATTACGTCCAACCCTTCGTCCTTTTGCAACTCGCGCTTGGAGCGTCGGGGCGGCCATCGTTGGCCCCGACAGGACTCAAAAGCTAGTTAACGTCCGGGGCTGGTGCAAGAGGAACCTCGGATGCTTCAATCTGAAACTTTGCTTCGGTTTAGGGCTTACTGCGCATGTAGGCCGCAAACATTCTATCAGGATTTGCGGCTTATGGTGGACGGTTTGGGTCTTATTAGGCTCTACGGTTTGCGGGGTCAAGGTTGCTCCTCGTATCATTGCCCCTTCAGTCCGGAACTACGGCTTAGGGTTTAGGGTGTAGGGTGTGTTGCGGGAAGCGGGGGGTTGGGGGGGGCGCAACCCCCCCCATTTGCAAACACGATTCTCGCATGATGGGTTTCCGAAAATGTGTGCATATGGCATATGCTTTGAGGCAAGCTTGCACGGCTTGAGAAAGCGGGGGGGTTGGGGGGGGCGCAGCCCCCATTTGCAAACACAATTCTCGCATGATGGGTTTCCGAAAATGTGACGATTCTCGCATGATGGGTTTCCGCAAAAGTGTGCATATGGCATATGCTTTGAGGCAAGCTTGCACGGCTTAAACAAAGCGGGGGGGTTTATTTCCTTCTTTCTTTCTTTCTTTCTGTCTTTCTTTCTTTCTTTCTCTCTTTATTTGTTTCTTTCTTTCTTTCTCTCTTTCTTTCTTTCTTTCTCTCTTTCTTTCTTTCTGTCTTGCTTTCCTTCTTTCTTTATT